GCCCCCCCCGGCCCAAAACAGTCCAGTGGCAGCTTTAAGACCAAGTTTTATTCAGGTACAAGCTCTCCCTCCTCTGCGAGGACAGATCTGCACGTTCCCAATAGCTAGCAATCCAGAACAGTCCAGTGGAGCCAGAGCGGTGGGTGTTGCCTTCTGACACACTTCCGGTGATGTCAGGGGGTGTGGCATATGCAAATAAGTTATGCTAATGAGCTCCTGCACCTCTTTTTCTACGAAATGACCCCTGCAGAGACCCTTCAAGTGTGGAGATGCTGGGGAATTGAACGTGGGACCTTCTGCATGCAAAGCAGATGCACAACCACTTGCTTGTGGCCTTCCTCCTAAAGCTCCTTCCCTTCACGGGGGTGTTTTCCCCCCTGCATGTTTGAAACCATGTCTGGGAAAGGTGAAGGCAGGGACAGCAGATATGGAAGGGGTGGCCAAACTTGCTTGACGTAAGAGCCACATAGAATAAACGTCAGATGTTTGAGAGCCGCAAGACATTAACAAATATTCAGGGCTCTTTTTGTAGCAGGTACGCATTTGCATATTAAGCGACACACCCCTAATGTAGCCAATCCTCCAAGAGCTTACAGTAGCTCCTGTAAGAAGAGCTCTGTAAGCTCTCGGAGAATTGGCTACATTAGGGGTGTGTGGCCTAATATGCAAAGGAGTTCTTGCTACAAAAAAAGCCCTGCGTTTTTACTGGTAAATATGCAAATTTGCTTTTTATCAACATTAAATGAGACTGCCAAAAATAATAACAAAAAGGGGTAAAAGGAGATATTGATAATGATATTTATTTGCTAATGATATTTAGCTTCTCCAGCTGCCCTGCCGGGAGCCGCACAATATGTGTGAAAGAGCCGCATGCAGCTCCCAAGCCACAGTTTGGCCACCCCTGAGATATGCCATTGATCCAACAGGACATTTCTAGGCAGACCACAGGAGAGATCTTGTCACAAAGAACATTTTTACGAGTAACAACAACCATGAGGGGTTTCAGACAGGAGGCAGGCATGACAGAAATGCCACCGTTTCTGCTGTGAAAGACACACCAGGGGGCTTGAAGCAGGGATTGTTCTGACAGGAAATAATCTCCTCAGGGCTTTTTTTGTAGAAAAAGCCCAGCAGGAACTCATTAGCATAATAGGCCACATCCAACAGCAGAAACTCATTAGCATATTAGGCCACACCTATGACATCACAGATCATTAGCATATTAGGCCATATCCCCATGCCTTCCCTGGGCTTGCCCGGGCAAGCCCGCCCTTGGACAGGCCGGGGAAAGCATGGGGAGGCATTTAAATGCCTCCCCGATCCTTCCAGGGGGCCCCCTGGCCAACCCGCCTCGGAGTCACCGGGGGGGGGAGGTCACTCTCCAGGCCTTCCCTCTGTAGCAACGCATGCAGAGGTTTTGGCTGTAGTGGGCGTGGCCAACTGAAGCCAGCCGGAACTCCGTTCCTGTGCGTTCCTGCCCCAAAATAGCCCTGAATCTCCTATATAGTGAACAGTGACTTCTGGCAAAATGGCTTTGTGTAGTTCAGGCCTGGAGCCCTGCCTGTGAACTTGCTGCTGTTTTAAAATCTTACTGTGAATACCTGATATAGCCAGATTTGCTTACTGTGTTCGTTAACAACCTGAATGAAATCCCCCCCCCCCACACACCCCAAGGTGGTGGGAGTGAACTTTGTAAACTGATCTTTTAGCAAAAGGCAGGGTAAAAATATAAGTAAATAAACACCCAGAGGCATGTTACAATCCTCGCGAGGGCACCAATGAAATCACATTTTTTAAAAAGCAAAATAAACCAAATGTACCCATAAAAACTGTAAGCTCTTGGAGGATTGGCTACATTAGGGGGGTGTCACCTAATATGCAAAGGAGTTCCTGCTACAAAAAAAGCCTAGAAGCAGAATTCATTTTGAGTCAAACCATCACCCTGCCACATATTTCCCTGCCCTCCACTATTGGCAGCCAAGAGTATAGAGTTGCTAGCAGGAAAAAGGCAGAACGGGGGAGAGGGGAGCAGATACACAATCGCATAACATCCAAATCACAAGATGTCCTAGTCCCGCTGTATACTGCATTGGTCAGGCGGCACCTGGAGTCCTATGTGCAGTTCTGCAGGCCTCACTTCAAAAAGGATGTGGACAGAATGGAGCGGGTGCAGGGGAGAGCAATGAGGATGATCAGGGACCTGGAGACCAAACCCTGTGAGGAAAGGCTGAGGGACTTGGGAATGTTCAGTCTGGGGGAGGTCGAGGGGGGACATGATGGCTCTCTCGAAGTATTTGAAAGGCTGTCACTTAGAGGAGGGCAGGGAGCTGTTCCTGTTGCCAGCTGAGGAGAGGACTCACAATAATGGGTTTAAATTAAGGGCAGGAAGGTACCAGCTGGATATGAGGAAAAACTTTTTTTACAGTTTGGTGTAGTGGTTAAGTGCACGGACTCTAATCTGGGAGAACCCGGTTTGATTCCCCACTCCTCCACTTGCACCTGCTGATGTGACCTTGGGTCAGTCACAAGCTCTGTCAGAGCTCTCTCAGCCCCACCCACCTCACAGGGTGTCTGTTGTGGGGAGGGGAAGGGAAAGGAGTTTGTAAGCCGCTCTGAGACTCCCTTGGGTAGTGAAGGGCGGGGTATGAATCCAATCTCTTCTCTTCCTCTTCTTCTTCTTCTACAGTCAGAGATATGCTACAGTGGAATCAGCTGCCTAGGGAGGTGGTGAGTTCCCCCTCCCTGGCAGTCTTTAAGCAGTGGCTGGACAAACACTTGTCAGGGATGCTCTAGGCTGATCCCACATTGAGCAGGGGGCTAGACTAGATGGCCTGTTTGGCCCCTTCCAACTCTGTGATTCTATGATTCTATTCTGTTTTCAGCAACACCTTTACCTTTTGTGCAGAATCTAACTGAGCCCTCACCAACTGTGCTATGTTCTCAGATAACTCATCCCCTGGGAGCTACTTTCAAACGCCTGGTCCCTAGTCAAATTATTTCTGAGCATCTGCCTACAGTGTAAATTTCCCTGGACGAGAAAAGGTTCATCCTGAACATTCTGAGCTCAGCAGAACATGGTGAAAAGTCTGAAATGCTACACTGTTTGTAGAGCTTTCAGCTTTCTCTAGAATACAATGGCCCTTGTGACCTTAGACCTCTGTGGATTTTCTCTGGCTTACAAAGACCAGCAAGGCTACAATTTTTTCTTCTCACAGCCCAAAATTATCGCCCCGTGTCGCTTTCACTGTGCTCTACAGAAATATTCAACTATACCCAAAGTTTTGCTCGTTTTCTGGGCACTCGTAAGCTTGTTCCCCCACATGTATCCTCTTGTGCTTAATAAGAGACTTTTTGTCAATGAATCTTTTGTCACAGTCAGGGCACTCATAGGGTTTTTCCCCCGTGTGGATTCTCATGTGCGAAATCAGGTTGCCTTTCTGACGGAAGCTCTTCCCACAGCCGGAACATGTATAGGGCTTCTCTCCCGTATGAACCCTTTTGTGATTGACAAGCAAAGAGCTGGTGTTGAAGCTTTTCTCACATTCGGGGCATTCATATGGTTTCTCCCCAGTGTGGATTCTCACGTGTTTCGTGAGGGACGATTTAACGCGAAAGCCTTTCTCGCAGACATTGCACTTGTAAGGTTTCTCCCCCGTGTGGGTTCTCTTGTGCGTAATGAGATTGGATTTCGAATTGAAACTCTGCCCACACTCTGCACACGTGTATGGCTTCTCTCCCGTGTGCAACCTTTTATGTTCTATAAACTGAAAACTGGTGCTGAAGCTTTTCCCACAGTCAGTGCATTCATAGGGCTTTTCCCCAGTGTGGATTTTCACATGTGAGACCAGGTTCCCTTTATTAACAAAGCTTTTTTCACAGATGGAGCACTTGTATGGCTTTTCCCCCGTGTGGGTCCTCACATGCATCATCAGGGAAGTGCAGTGAGAAAAAGATTTGCCGCACTGGGAACACTGATACGGTTTCTCCCCTGTGTGAATCCTCATATGCGAAACCAGGTTTCCTTTCTGACTAAAGCTCTTCCCACAATCTGAGCACTGGTATGGTTTTTCTCCGGTGTGGGTCCTTTCATGCGTCACAAGATGCGATCTCTTACCAAAGCTTTGCCCACATTCCGAGCATTCATAGGGGTTGTCAGCCGTGTGGGTCTTCCTGTGCGTGGTAAGATTGGATTTCAGGTGGAAGCTGTGGCCACACTCTGCACAGGTATACAACTTCTCCTCTGTGTGTATTCTGATATGATCTACGAACTCACAGCTATTGCTGAAGGTTTTCCCACAATCCGTGCATTCATATGGTTTCTCTCCAGTGTGGCTTCTCTCGTGCATAACCAAGTGGGTTCTCTCATGAAAAGTTTCCCAACAATATGAGCATTTGTGTGGCTTCCCGTCCGTTTGTGCACCCTGATTCTCAAAACAATCAGAGCTCTGACAGAGGATCTTCTCCGAGTCCGCCTTTTGTCCCTTATTCCTACAGATACCCTCTTGGAAGGTACTTTCATCTAAGCTACATTCTTCGCAAGGATCTTCTTGTGTCATTTTCCTGGTGTGTCTTTCCTGGTGGCCTGGCCCCACCTGGCTTCCGGGCATCTCTTCCCACTCAGAACTCCTCAGAACAAACCTCCCTTCGTCTCTTTCAGCCAATAATCCACAAAAGCTCACGTCTTCCTAACGGAAGGTTTCCTTCCTCGTTATTCTGCATGCGATCATCACCTTTTGGAACAAACACAAAATCAAATATGTAAAAATTAAATAATTGCCATGTGGCATTGTGTGTAGAATAGCCAGGAGATTGCCAGACAATCTTAGGATCTCCTGGCTATTCTACACACACTACCGAACATCATTTTGGTGTAGTGGTTAAGTGTGCAGACTCTAATCTGGGAGAACTGGGTTTGATTCCCCACTCCTACACTTGCACCTGCTGGATGACCTTGGGCAAGTCATAGCTCTGTCAGAGCTGTTCTTGAAAAAAAGCAGTTTCTGTCAGAGCTCTCTCAGCCCCGCCCACCTCACAGGGTGTCTGTTGTGGGGGAAAAGTCCCCAAACTACATGAAACAGTTCAGCTGGACAATTATGTGCAGATGCAATGGTGGCAGAGAAATACTGCCCTTTCATCATCATCATCATCATCATCATCATCATCATCATCATCATCATCATCATCATCTGCAAGGGTGTCAAACTCATTTATTATGAGGGCCAGATCTGACATAAATGAGACCTTGTTGGGCCGGGCCATCTGTGTCATAAAAGGTAATGCCAGGTAGCGGAGATATAAACTTTATAAAGGACACAGACAAACACAAATATTTTAAACACTTTAAATAACACATTTTCAGTGAGTTCGACACCCCTAGGGCTACAAGAAACTCCTGAAAAGAAAGAACAGATAACGCATTAGTGCAGAGCGGAGCTGCCAGTAGTGTTGCCACTACCTGGAGATTTTAGGGGTGGAGCCTGAGGAGGGCGGGGTTTGGGGAGGGAAGGGACCTCAGCGGGGTATAATGCCATGTAGAGTCCAGCCTCTAATGCAGCCATTTCCTCCATGGGAAGTTGGGAACTGATCTTGGTCATCTGGAGATCTATTGTAATAGTGAGAGATCTCCAGGTGCCACCTGGGGGTTGGCAACCCTTGCTGCAAGCCTACTCATCTTTAAGGGACTGGCTAGACTGAAGTCGGGAGCTGCGGTGGCTCAAGTGGTTAAGACGCTGAACTGCAGGCTGTGGAAGGTCGGTAGTGCAGCAGTTCGAGACCCGAGTGTGCCGCATGATGGAGTGAGCTCCCAACTCTAGTTCCAGTTCCTGCCAACCTAGCAGTTCGAAAGCAAGAAATTGCAAGTAGATAAATAGGTACCACTTCAGTGGGAAGGTAACAGCGTTCCATGCGCCTTGGTGTTTAGTCATGCCGGCCACGTGACCACGGAAACGTCTTCGGACAGCGCTGACTCTTCGGCTTTGAAACGGAGATGAGCACCACAACCCTAGAGTCGGATTCGACTGGCTTTCGAGCAAGGGAACCTTTACCTTTAGACTGAAGTCAGAAAAGGCTGCTTGAGCACAACACGCCTGAACTGTTACCTGTTCATTATTGTTTTACATACTTAATTGTGAGATCCAGGTGGGGCAGCCGTGTTGGTCTGAAGCAGCAGAACAAAGTTTGAGTCCAGGGGGGCACCTTTAAGAACAACACAGTTTTATTCGAGGCATGAGCTTTCGTGTGCACACACCTGAGGATATTGTTCTTTAAGTTTGAATTAAATAGAGGTTACACCTCCACCCCTTCACCTCTCCTGCCTTTTTAAAATGGAAGGTCAAGGGCTGAGGATTTGTGTCTCTGGATCTGACGTCAGTTAATTTGGGAGAGAATTGTCTAAAAAATAAGACATAAATATGATAAGAGTGTATTATTTACTTATGTATAATAATGATTGAAAAGAACAGTATTGATAACCCAACTTTCCATACGGAATGCTGTGTGCATAATACCCTGGTTCTGGTATTGTTTGTGTTTTTACGGAAACATTTTAAAAAATTAGAATCATAGAGTTGGAAGGGACCTCCAGGGTCATCTTGCCTGCACAATGCAGGTGATTCACAAATACCTCCCCCCTCCACACCCACAGTGACCACTGTTCCACGCCCAAATGTTAATTGTTTAAAAGTTGTAATGTTTTTATGTGCACCGCCTTGGAGACTGTAGAAAGGTGAAATACATATGTTTTAAATGCAATTTTAAAAAATGGTTAAAACAACCTTTTATTTTATTTTATTTTAGAGAGCTCAGTGTGAGTTGGGAAGACAGAAAAGTTCTATTACACTGATGGAGAGCCAGTTTGGTGTAGTGGTTAAGTGCACGGACTCTAAACTGGGAGAACCAGGTTTGATTCCCCACTCCTCCTCTTGCACCTGGCTGGATGACCTTGGGCAAGCCGTAGTTCTGATAAGAGCTGTTCTTGAAAAAGAGCAGTTTCTGTCAAGAGCTCTCTCAGCCCCACCTACCTCACTGGGTGTCTGTTGTGGGGAGGGGGAGGGAAAGGAGTTTGTAAGCCGCTCTGAGACACCTTTGGGTAGTGAAGGGCAAGGTATAAATCCAATCTCCTCCTCCTCCTCCTTCTATTAATGGAAACCAAACTCTATCCAACCTAGTAATATAAGCATTACCCCATGTTCTCAATATCTATCCTGTACCTAATAAATACCAAGCTATTAGATTTAAGAGTTGATATTTCACCTTCAGTGCTAAATAGTGGCTGTGGGTGAAACTAACGTTTAATTAAGGGATAATAATGTTTAATACATGTCAAATTAATAGTGACTTGAGTGGCAAAGGGACATATTCTTTGCTTGGCCAAACAGCATTTGCAAGACAGATGCAGATTTTGAATTTTGCAGGATTCCGCATGAGAAAGATAATTTGGGAGGCAGGAGGAGCAGAAAAATATATTTCTATGCCTGAAACTCGGTAATCACTGATGTTAAAAGACAGAACATACACTGGGGGTGTTTTTTTTTTAAATAACAAAGAGGCTTGTGACATGTTAAAGACGACGATATCTATTTGGGCATAAGCCAGAGCCTGATCTGTCGGATGCAAGCTTATACCACAATAAAGTGGCCGATCTTTATTTTGTACATTTTGTCAGACTTAGTGTATGATGTCACAAGACTCTTTGATTTTTTTTTGGCTGCAGTAAATAAGAACACAAGAGAAGCCAGTGTTCGATCAGGCCAATGGCTCATCCAGTCCAACACTAAACTACTACTAAATACTACTAAACATGTAACTGTAACCTTTTTTTTTTATGACCAGAGTACTCTGAGCATGTAGGGTTGCCTCTCCCCGCTGATGCTGAAGCTCAGCTAGCCTTTTTGCATCTAGAGTGTGGGGAAGGCTTTCTTCTCGGCCTTCCTGCTCTCTCCTCAGCATAAGGCACAGCAGGTCATAAGAACATAAGAGACGCCAATGTTGGATCAGGCCAATGGCTCATCCAGTCCAACACTCTGTGTCACACAGTGGCCAAAAAGACCAGGTGCCCCATCAGGAGGTCCAGCAGTGGGGCCAGAACACTAGAAGCCCTCCCACTGTTGACACACACCCCCAAGCACCAAGAAGACAGAGCATCCCTTGCCCCCAGACAGAGTGTTCCATAAATAGGAATGTCCTGACCTGGATAAAAAAAAGCCGACGCACGCAGCGTGTGAGTGCACTGGAGGGCTCCACAGACAGGTGGATGAGTCTGATCGCCTTTCTCCTGGTTAGTACTTGGATGGGAGACCGCCACAGAAGTCCAGAGTTGCTACACAGAGGCAGGCCATGGCAAACCATCTCTGTTTGTCTTTTGCCTAGAAAACTGTGGGGTTGCCATAAATTGGCTGCAACTTGACAGCCCTTTACACCCATACGTATAGGGCTGCCCCATGGAACAGATCTTTTTAATGAAACTGAGAATCACCGCAGCAGGAAAATGACATTGAATCCTGCCAGAAGCCCTGTTCGCACATCATAGCAAATGTATGTACAGCCTGCATGTACGTGCATGCATCTGTTTGTGAGAAAGAGCCAACACACGTTCTCTTGACAAATGAAAATGGGGACCAGTACTGAGCATAAAGGTGGGGTTTAACTCGCACATGCGGCTCGGTGGTGGTGGTGGTGAAAAGTGCTGTCAAGTTGCAGTACATATAGGGCTGCCCCATGGAACAGATCTTTTTAATGAAACTGAGAATCACCGCAGCAGGAAAATTACATTGAATCCTGCCAGAAGCCCTGTTCGCACATCACCGTATATGTATATACAGCCTGCATGTACGTGCATGCATCTGTTTGTGAGAAAGAGCCGACACACGTTCTCTTGACAAATGAAATGGGGACCAGTACTGAGCATAAAGGTGGGGTTTAAATCGCACATGCGGCTCTGTGGTGGTGGTGGGACGGTGGAAAGTGCCTTCAAGTTGCAGCTAACTTATGGTGCCCCCCCCCCAAGGGGTTTTCAAGGCCAGAGACTTGGACTTCCCCAGTTGAATGTAACATGAGAACTACTTGATGCATGTATAAAGAAAAATAAAGTGTACACCGTACATGGATTGTACATGCATCTGCTGCAAATTATGGACAGGGCTGATACGGCTCCCTCTGTATGGTGAATCCATGGACTCATCTCTCTGATTTTCCTCCCACCATGCTATGCTGCACATCAGGGAAAGATCCCTCCCCCCATATGAGACCTTGGAGGCTGGGGTTTGGGAGGGGAGAGATCCCAGTAGGTTATAATCCCCCCTCTGAAACGATCATTTTCTCCGGGGAACTGTTCTCTGTCATCTGAAGATCAGCTGTAATTCCAGGAGATCTCTGGGTCCCGCCTGGAGGTTGGCAACACTAGCTGCCAGCAATGTTCCCTCTAAGCTCTGAAGTCTTGCGAGCAAAAATTCTACTTTGTGAGCTACTGGCATTAAAGTTGTGAGCGAGCGACTTGGCTACTGCACAAATTAGTGTGCTCTGCAGTTATCCCTCCTAAACTAAGACAAAAATCTGTGAGCTGGAGGCTAAAAAACTGTGAGCTAGCTCACACCAACTCAGCTTAGAGGGAACACTGGCTGCCAGTCACATGAGACCATACTGGGGAAGACGAACGAATGTTCTGAATACAGCCGCTTCATACATCTTAGGGTTATGATCTCTGCGTTGGTTCAGCTCTCATGGTCCCAGATGTGTCATTCTCTCTCAGCCGCAGCCCTATACCTCGACTGTAGGGAGATAACACTGGCCAACCTTACAAGGCTGTTGTAGGGATTCTTAGGCTGAACTGCTTCGAACCCTGGAAGACCGCCAAGTATTACGACTGCCCGTGTCCTGTCCGTTTCCCGCATCTGATGGAACGGGCTGCGGTCCGCAAAACCTTTCCTGCCCCCCCCCCCAACAATTTGTGAGTTGCTACAAGACTCTTTGTCTACTTTTATTGCTGCAGGCGAACTGGCTCCTCTGGCTGCTTCTCCCTGTGCTCTGCCACCGGGTCCTCCCTCCTTTGCTTGCTTTCCCCTCACCTGCGCGAAGTCTTCGCGTTGCATCCCGCTCCGGGGGAATCCACAGCTCAGACACCACGAATCTCCAACAAGGCAATTTCCCTACCACTGTGAGGAAGGCGGGAGGAGGAGGAGGAACAGGAAAGCGGCTCACACTATTTACTTTTTGTTCCCGCCTCTCTAGCACTACGAGCTCTGTCGATTTAACCCTTAGCTCATTCTCTGACAGAGGCAGCTAGTGGAAGAAAGAGCGGCCGCTGACAGGCGCGCTGCACGTTTCCACCGCCACCCCCCATGGCCTGCGCGCCACCAATCTTGCTAAAGCCAGCCCAGCCCAGGGTACCGTTTTAAATGAGTGCTGCGTGCAATCACATGCTATGGATTACAGTTTTATTATACCATGTCTGGCAAGCCATAAGGAGAATCTGATAAATGAACATGAAGACTGTGGAAATATTATGTGCTGCTATGGCACAAAGGTGACAGCAGAGGCCAGAGAAGGCTCCACTTACTTGGCAAGAGGCAGCAGATGCTCCAGGATAGGACAAGGCACCTCAGGAGAACACAGTAGCAGCTGAATCATGCAAGGGTGCCAGCCTCCAGGCGGGACCTGGGGATCCCCCAGAATCACAGCCAATGTTCCCTCTAACCTATGGAGGCTTGTGAGCAAAAATTCTGCTTTGTGGGCTACTGGCATCAAAGTTGTGAGTGAGTGATTTGGCTGCTGCATAAATTAGTTTGCTCTGGAGCCATCCTTCCTGAGCTAAGACAAAAAGGTGTGAGCTGGAGGCTTAAAAACTGTGAGCTAGCTCACACTAACTCAGCTTAGAGGGAACACTGATCACAGCTCATCTCCAGACTACAGAGATCACGTCCCCTGGAGAAAACGGATGCTTTGGAGGGTGGACTCTGTGGCATTGTACCACACTGGGGTCCCTGTACTCCCCAGGCTCCATCCCCAAATCTCCAGGAGTTTCCCAACCTGGATCTGGCAAACCTATCCCCACATTCTCCCCATACACATGGGGAGGGGACTTGTCAACCCTGAACAAACCGAGCTGGAGTGGGGCAAGGCAAGGAAGGGGTTAAAAGAGCAACAAGGCTCTGAGAAGGGAGGGGTGGTGGTACTGGCCTTGACCAACAGGGACAGAGCCCCAGGGATAAAAA